AAAAAAAAAAAAAAAAAAAAAAAAAAAAAAAAAAAAAAAAAAAAAAAAATGGTAAAGCGAGCGTATTGCCTCGGCCTTTGCTTTACAGACACCTCGAGTTCAGTTTGGTCGATACCTCGGGCATGAGCGAGCAGCAGCGCCGCGAGATCGCGTACACGGTGGTCCAGTCCCAATTGGCCCACCACCGCCACCAACAGCAGCTGCAACAACAACAACAGCAGCAGCAGCAGCAGCAGCAGCATCTTCACCACCATCAACAGCAACAGCACTACCAGCCCGTGCCACCGCAGTACCAGAACCAGCAGCAACAAACGCAACAGCAGAACCAACAGAATCACCAGCTGCAGAGTCAGCAGCAATTGTCGCACGGCAGCTACTGTACCGGGTCTTTGGCCCAATTGAGGAGCAGCAACTCGAGACTGGACGAGCCGGAGAGGTGCGCGTCCTCGGCGTCGACCCAAACGGGCCAGCCTAGGTACGATGATCTCAAGACGAGCGCCGCTACCGTCGCCAATGCTGCTACTGCCTGCAAGCAGAACAGTCATCCCCAGGTGGTGGAGGACGACACGGGCTCCGTAGTCATTGTTTAATGTTTTAGATTTTCCTCTTTCTATCTTTCTTTCTTTCTTTCTGTTTTCTCCCTTCATTTTTTCCTTTTTCTCTTCCATCATCATCAATGTGGTCTTGCCAACTCACTATATTAGTATAACGAGAATGTCTTACCACCCCCCTACCCCTTCTCCTCCTTATCGCTCACCCTGTACTGTCGTCATTATTTTTCATAAGTACGCGCCTTTTATAACGGTGATCGTTATAACTTTTAATTGGTCCATTTTGTCTTGATACCACACTCTGTCTTGGAATGTCATCCTCGCTCTTTCCACTGTTTATTAATTTTTTTTTTTTTTTTTTTCATATAACTGTGTGTCGGTAGAATCTATTTCTTTTCTCTTAATTATTATGACAATAAAACAAAAAAAAGAAAAAAATAGCTGTACAGGAGGCCGACGGACCGTGGAAATGTTTGCCGCGCCAAGAGTCGTATAGTGCACACTCCTGTATGGTGCTTTGATAAAAATATTGCTATACTCGAGTTGCGTCCTCCCTTTCCTCCCGTCCCCTTCCCCCCACCACTCCGACATTATGAATCTCGAGTTTCATTTTAAGCTTTATGATACGGCTTTAACTATTTTTTTTTTTTTTTTTTTTTTTTTCGCTTTTGTTTCGCACCGGTGGGGGACCTGTGGACGTGGTCTCATAGCTCCGAGTCATTAATTATATACTTACGTGGGGGCCGCAGTTTCTTCGTTAAATGAGATTTCTACGTAGAAAAAAAAAAAAAAAGAAACGGATGCACGTATATATTTTTAGAGTGTCAAAGATTTTTTTTTTTTCCTCGTATTAGGTTTATTTTGCACAACTATACACAATATCTACACTTTATTGAGTCAATTTTTATCGATAATTCGAGTACATCGATATTTGTTAGGGAGTATGAATATTTTCAATTTTTATCAAACTAATGAGCTTGTGATACTTTCATAGTGATCACGATATTTATAAATATTATACATATACGTAAAAGTTCATCATCGAATGTATATTAATGTGAATGGTGCTAATCACAATACTTATTTCGACTCGCGAGAGCGAAAACTACAAGTGCATGCTTATATATACTTAGTTGTAATGACAATAACAATAATAATACATTTAATTTTTTCATACAATTTTTTTTAAATTCTTGATAACAAAGATCATGTACGAGCAGCATGTATGTATCGTTGTTTTGGTCTCAAGCATGTGATTATTCATCTTATNACAAAATATAATCATTTTACACGAATCCCCAAATAAAACACTTTGATTATTGCCTGCAACGGCGTACCTATACGTTTGCGTATTCATTTTTTTCATTCGATTAGTTGATTGAAATATCCCTGAAAGTTTTAATGATTCGATCAAATCTCTCTTTTATTCACGTGTAACTATAAAAAAAGTCTTTCAAAGCTTGGCTCGATGAATATGGTTTTGATCTCGTTTTTCATTCGAATCGATATGATCGGTTTGTTTTTTATCATCGAAAAAGCGAGATTTGTTCAACTTCGAGCTTTTTAGAAATTGATTAAGTAATGACTATGATTGAAAAACTGTTTGTCCATAAAAACATTTTGTCTTTAGCTTTTGTGTATTAACTCTAATTTGGAAGCAGCATAAGTGTGTTTTACAAGTGTGATTTTAATTTAACTTTTTGGTGTTAGTTTTTGCATTGAATAATCATCGATTTTCGATATTCAGGCACGGATTTACCTTGGGGCAAAGTAAAAAAAGTTTGAGGAATAGGTATTAAATGATGGTAGTACCTCGATTGATGAGTTGCAAATTCATGCAGTTTGATAAACATCTGGATTTTGCTGAAACTGTCCATCTTACAAGTAGCTCCAAAAACTAAAATCTGGTCCTGAATATTTTGTGGAGAGTGATTTCGGATGCATTTAGGTTTCCTTAAGAAAAAAAAATCCACTGATACCAAAATAGCTCGACAAAAAGTACGTCCACGCATGCATTACCCAATAATCTAATCGAAACCGCGAATAAGCTCGACACGTGAAACGTGAGGAGAGAAAAAGCCAAGGCTCCCCACCTGCAATGAACCAAAAATTTCAGAGCCGTGGGCTTCTCGGTGAAACGCGATCGGCGAAGCGTTTACCAGTGCAGCCAACAACAGCAGCAGGACACCAGCGCCAGGGTATCATCCAACCTGCACAGCCATCACCAGCACGGGGTAAACAGCGCAGGTAGCCAGCACCACGTGCCCACGGCGATGTCGGGCCGAATGAACAGCAGGACCGAACTGCACCACCTGCACGGCAGTAGGCACGAGCTCTATTACGGCTCGTCGTCCTCGAGAAAGGGCTCGCCCTCGCCGTCGATCGTCGGAGTTGGTCACGGTGGCGTTGGCAGCACTGGCGGTTTACTGGCGCGAGGCGGCAGCGCCTGCCGGCTGCCGGTACTCAGCAGCGCCAACGCCGACAGTGGCCTCGGCGAGAGCACCACCCAGGACTTTTCCAGCTGCTGCTCGAGCTCGGCCGACAGTACCAAGCACTCACGCGTTGTACGAGCCTTTTTTTTTTCTTTTTTTTCAAATTAATTTTTTTCCAGGGGGGAGGGGGGTGGAAGCTGAAGGTTGGAAATTAGAATATGTTCGCCGGAAAATCGCTGATGCGCGACACTTGTGATTTCACGCTAGGCCGGGCAGAGCTGTATAGACATTGGACGCGGGCGCGCGCGACTTGGATTGCAATTTAATATCACATCCGTGTACGCGTGTGTACAATTTGTTGGCTGGTTGTTTTTTTTTTTTTTTTTTTTTTTTTTTTTTTGTTCAATACATCGAAAAACGTGACATCGTGCCTTGCACGCGTGGCGTTTCGTTTTGTTTGGGGATGCGCTAAAAAATCAGAAATCGCAGTCGTGTCGGGGAGGTTTTTGCCTGATGAAGTTTTCGTCCCCGAGAAAGGACGATTCTCGAGGGAACGGGTATGCGTACGTGCTGCCTTTCAAATCTCCCTTCGTCTGTAGTATGACGCGCGAAATATATATTTTAATCTCGTTACTCGAAACGAACGCGTGAGCAGGGAGTGCATTTTTAATCGGACTTTTCAATTTTAAGGATGAAATATTAGGGGGATGATTTTACTATCTTATTTAGATGTACCTGTTTTTTACACTTGGGATTAATTTTTTTAATGCACAAGTAGATTTCATTATTGGTATTTTTCGTCGTGGGGCTCAGTTAGTATTTAATAGTTTGACAGAACCTAGTAACTGAGAAACAGGAAGCGAAAAAAAAATTTGTTCGAGGCATTTTTCAATTGCTTATGTGGATAGATATTTTTGTTGTTTAGTTTCGATTTTCCATAATTTATTTTGCTCTCGCAAATCGCTAGGAAAAAAAAAAAAATTATTAAATAAAAAGAAAGTTATCATTGGTTGTTTATTGTACGACAATCAAATTTCTCGTTTTATGAATTGTAAAAACATTATAAAGAAGCTTACGAATATCAAAACTAAATGAACGACAAAAATATTTAACCATATCATCAAACGATGTTGCAAATTTAACGAAAATCTTTTTAATGGTACAGAAATATTTTTTTTCTCCCAATAATCTTTCTTGATAAAGTTTCATTAAGTAGTCAAAAATTTTTTTTTGTGGTATCCAACACGTATTTAAGAAAAAACGCTCTGTAGTAAAGCAAATTTTTTCTCACCCGTATAGACGCAAAGACAATTAGACGAAGATGGATATTATAAGCTTCCTTCTGATACATTCAAGCAGAATCTGCCAAACAGCAATGCAACGTTGGATGCCGTTTTGCAACCAATTATATCGTAAGTATCGTTCAGTTTCAAGTTGGTGCGGCACTTAAATCGCACTGAAAAATTTTATTGATAACCGTCAATTAATAAATCTACAAGTCTTTGGCAAATAATAAAATACTTAAAAACTTACCATCTATATAGACAAGTTGTGGTACCAAATGAGATCGGTAAAATAGGTTTTAGCCTTATTTTATTACCGATTGCTGCAAATGTGATTTCTATGTTATCTACGACGTTTTAAAGTAATTAAAAAATTGCAATAATTTTTTGTTGCAGCACATTGACTCGAAGACGACGAACTAGACCAAAATAAATTCGCCAAGGATGGGTGCATCTTTGCTGTTGTATTTTAAGTGCACATATTGTATATTCCTTTTCAAAATGAAAATTTTTACATTTCGAAGAATAAAAGAAATTGTATACTCCCACTAAAAGTGTTATTTCTTTAACCATACAAAAGTTAATACAAGTATATGTTATGCCTTTTGTAAGGCTGCAAAATCTATTTATTTATTTTACTCATCATGTTTCTAAATGCTGGATTATGCTGTAAATAACAATTACTATTTGAATATGAAAAATATATTTCTATTATTTTTAAATCGTTCTAAACAAACTATTCCACCAGAAAATCATTTCAAAATAAAATCTTTGTAAAAATGTAGATGCTAATTAAATGTACAAATTTAAAGGTATTTTTAATTAAACAGGAAAAAAAATTAATTTCAACGAATTAATGCTTTATGGAATAACATAATTACATTTAAACTTTGACAAACTAGTTGATAAGCAAACAAATACTCCACACTTTCATATTTACATGAAAATCTCACGCTTTGATGGCGTTCTGAGCTTTCTTTCCGATGTTTGGCTTGCCAGCTTTACTTATTTTGCCAGGCTTGCTGTTCATATTACTTTTCACCGTTTTCAATTTTTCTTTTGCAAGTTTTTTTCCTTTCTTCAGATCACTCTTGATGTTGACAAGGATGTCCTCGCTCATAGGATCGATGATCGCCCCCATCCTCGTTTTGACAGCAGGTGTAATGAGCTTACTGAAAGTTTTTTCAGGTACAAATTCTCGACCTATGGGTGCTCTCAAGCTTGCCTCATAGTCCTGGACGCTCGTGTAGGGGAAGGGCAGATCACTGACCAAATGCTGCTTAATCTTCGGATTCTTTTCCTCTATGATCACGACGTCACCCTTGTTTTCGTCTTTACGAGTCTCGGCTTTCGGAAACTTTAGAATGAAACGTTTCTTCTTTCGACTTGGTATTTGAATATTTTTGCCACCCCAGCTGCCCCAGCCTGGTAGTGTCAGATCCTCGTTGTCCGGCTGGGAGTTTTCAATCTGAAACAATAAAAGTGCAAACATATGAGTTATTATAAGAGACAGTAAAGTTCAATGCCACTTCGTGTTTTAGACACCAACCTGATTTTTTTTTTCTTGTCGAAATTCATCCACCACATCGTCATCCGCAAAAGCTTCACTAATTATTTGCTGTTGATCTTCTTCTGGCTCACTTTCATCATCTATTGCATCATGTGCTTCACTAATCTCGTTCGGTATTACAGTTTTCACGTGTTTCGGCTTTATGTTGATAAATTTATTCGGATCTATTTCAGCATTGTTTGGCTGAGACGTTACTTTTTTATTGAATTCAGTAATATTTGTTATATTTGCTAGTTCTGAGTCGTTCTCTTGCGGTTTCAAACCTGTGGACTCTTCAATAGGCTTTTGAATTGACGGCCTTTGAATCCTTTGGCCTTTCAAACCAAGCTTTTCTAGTTCATTGACATTATTATTACTTTTTCTCCTCTTTTTCCTCTTTTCTTCCTTTTTCTCTTCTTTTTCGAGTTCACGTTTCTTTTTGGCAAGTTTTTTGTTAAGGGATTCCTGTACCTTATTTTCCATAACATCAAATATTTCATCAATGTCAATATCATCTACGTTATCCGAATTCTGTTTCATTGCAGACAGTAAGAACGATTTTTTCTTCCCTTGAACTTTTTTTTCTTTCTTGGGAATCGGTGCATCTGAATTATTTGAAACGACCCAACTAGATGTTCCAACTTTCACTTTTGATTCTTGGCACTTGGCAGCTTTACTTTTCGGTGATTTAATATTGAGTTTATCTTTTGATTTTTTTTGTAAATTTTTCTTTAGTTTCTTTTTGAGTGCTTGCTCTTCAACACTTGAGGTTTTACCCAAGTCACCGTTCACTTCACTTACACCATTCTGACTGCATGGACTCTCTTTGGTAAGCTGCTCAACTGAATTAGAATTTTTAGTCGAATCACAAATTTCTGATACCTGAAATGACTTGTTACTTTTTTCATTTTTATTTATTTCTCCGCAATATTTTCTGTATTTGTTGATCAAGTCTGTAACTTCCTGATCAGGTTTTACTGGATACATCCAAGGATTCTCCTTATCACTGCTTGACAGTGGTATAGGTGGTACATCATCCATATCTTCGTCACTATCATCTTCCTTCACTTTTTGTGTCAAGTCTCTGCTAATTGCCAGTTGTTCAGCTAGTACTTGTCTCGTCTATCGTTAAAAAGTGTATGTTATTTTCAGTATTATTATTAAAAGTAAATAACTTTACCTCTTTATCATATTTGGCTTTAATTTTTTGGCTTTGGGCCCATTTGCCAGTATTTTTGTGCCTCAACGTCATGCGTTCTTTGATTCTTGTATTGTCTAGCTCTTGTAATTTTTTCAAAGCCGCCTCTGGGTCGGTCTCTTTCAATTTTTCAAATTCTTCCATAGCTTTCTTCATTCTTTCTTTTCTTTGTATTCTATGGAATTTTTTGCTTTTGATTTTGTTCTGTCTCCTAGCTTTTACTGCTTTATGCCTCTATAAAAATATCAAGTACTTCATGATTATAACATAAAATAAAAACTTTTGAAAAACTTACCTCTTGCGCCTTAAGCTTAGCAATCTCTTTCTGCTGCTCTATTGCTTCTTCCATAGTCATCTGAAATTTGTCATCTTCTTCTTCAGATTCCTCTTTTGGCTTCAAGGATGCCATGTGTATTTCCAAATCAGATTTTATACGATACCTTTGCACATACTCATTGGAAGGTGTAAGCTTTATGGAAGATCGACTTAAGGGAAAAGTAACACATGCAGCAGTACGATTGTTGGCTACAACGGCATTCCATTTATTCAGTTCTTTTCTCGTGTTTTCATACCCTGTTATGCGTTGTATCTAAAAAAATTCGACAATTTTAGGATAAAACTCAAAAATATGGCTAAAACTAGTTACATGAAATACTTACTCTCTCTGCAACCGGTTTTTCCAAAGGCTTGGGTAAAACATTGTCTTGTGTATTAACTTTTGGCTCCTCTTTAGCTTTTTTTTTCAATGTTTTTAAAGTCTCTTGAGCCTTTGTTTGATCATTATTTTCATACTTAGTTTTCGTCAAATGATATTTGGAATCTACTAAAGCTAATTCACTTCTCTGGTGCTTTTGTATCCTGAAAATGAAACCAATACTTGATAAAATTCTTACTCACATGGAATAACCTAAAAATCTTTCACGCACCTGAGCACTTTGTTCAGGTTGTTTGTAGCCTCGAAAAGTTTTTCATGATTGTCAGTTGCATCTTCATCACTGTCGTTAAACTCAAATTCAGACGAACTCATTTTTTCACAATTTGACAATTAAAAACTTTTAACAGACAGATATTTCATAGAAGTAAGCAAAAGCACAACACACGTGTGTGTACTTGTGTCATTGAATGCTCCGAGCTCCGAATGCTCCGCCGATTCGGTGTTATACTAAGTATGAATATTAAACTATTTTAATCAACGCCATCTAATATTGCCGCAAATGACATAAAAAATGTTAACTTTGTATTGCTTACCTACAAAAGAAGTTGCGGCTGGTTTATAATCGATTAAATGGCTCTACTGTAAGCATAGTAAATGTTATTTGGATCAGCGCCATCTAGCGGTCTTTATTTTTTGGCCAAAAGTGGCTCCTAAAATTCTCCATCAGTGCAATCAGGATTAGAGCAATTTAATCAATTATAAACCAGCCGCAACTCATGATAAAGCTATAAAATAAAAAAATAACGATACATGTGTTTTTGGCGGCAACTTAACAATCTATCTTTTGCTCTAAAATTTATTTTCAAAAGTATCAAACATGGGAGGTCGATTTTTAGGTAAAAAATAGACTGTTAACTTGCCGCCAAAAACACATATATCGTTATTTTTTCATTTTATAGCTACATGATAAGTTGCGGCTGGTTTATAATTAATTAAATAGCTCTAAGCTCAAATGCTCTGCATCAAAAGATTAGGAGCCACTTTTGGCCAAAAAATAAATATCGCTAGATGGCGCTGATCCAAATGACTATTACTATATATACTTACAGTAGAGCCACTTTGTTAACTATAAACCAGCCGCAACTGTTCTTATAGATAGGCAATAAAAAATGACGCATTTTGTGCTATTTGCGGCAAGTCTACCATTTATCTTTGAGCCAAAAATCGACATGTAAAAGTATAAATATTCTACTTACTTTATATGGCTCATAAAATCAACCACATGAAAAAAAATTACAATACCTTAAGCTTCTTATCATTAACTTATGGAAGCACTTATGGATAGTCCACGGAAGCTGATCCTACCAATCCTACCTTGATTAATTTTTTCATTGAAATGACCTTGTATGTTCACTGTTAAATAATTTTAAATATTGAAAGTTAACAAGTTGTTTTATTTAATACATTCATTGTGATTAATCCTTAAAAATAATGTAATGTAAGCAATTGTTTAAGTTTCATAACTTTTAATCATAACAGTTCATACTGTAAATATGCATTCGCTCCTTTAAAATTTGGTTTTTCCTTGTTTCTATAAAAATTTGTGTAACAAAAATCTTGAATTATGATGAAATATATACGTTAATTAATCAGTTGAAAAGAGACAACTGAAGAAAAAAGGCCTAAAAAAGAAGCACAGTCACAGGAAGAGTCTCTTAAGAATGGAGCATTGGTTCTTACTAAATAAAAAATACATTTATTATAGATAAGTAAATTTTAAGTGTTATAAATAAACAAAGAACCCAACATTCTCTGATTATGTGAGATCCAATGCTCCATTCTCAGGAGACTCTTCGTGTCATTGAAACTCTTTTTTAAGCCTTTTTTCTTGAGTCTGATTAATTCACGCATGTGTTTATCGTTATTCGAGATTTCTGTAACACAATACATATCATATAAGTTAACTGTTTATTTAAACCATAAAAAGTTAAAGGGCTGTGCTTCCATAAATTAATGGTAAAAGGTCTAAGGTATTGTAAGTTTTGAATATGGTTGATTTTATGAGCCATATAAAGTAAGTAGAATATTTATACTTTTACATGTCGATTTTTGGCTCAAAGATAAATGGTAGACTTGCCGCAAATAGCACAAAATGCGTCATTTTTTATTGCCTATCTATAAGAACAGTTGCGGCTGGTTTATAGTTAACAAAGTGGCTCTACTGTAAGTATATATAGTAATAGTCATTTGGATCAGCGCCATCTAGCGATATTTATTTTTTGGCCAAAAGTGGCTCCTAATCTTTTGATGCAGAGCATTTGAGCTTAGAGCTATTTAATTAATTATAAACCAGCCGCAACTTATCATGTAGCTATAAAATGAAAAAATAACGATATATGTGTTTTTGGCGGCAAGTTAACAGTCTATTTTTTACCTAAAAATCGACCTCCCATGTTTGATACTTTTGAAAATAAATTTTAGAGCAAAAGATAGATTGTTAAGTTGCCGCCAAAAACACATGTATCGTTATTTTTTTATTTTATAGCTTTATCATGAGTTGCGGCTGGTTTATAATTGATTAAATTGCTCTAATCCTGATTGCACTGATGGAGAATTTTAGGAGCCACTTTTGGCCAAAAAATAAAGACCGCTAGATGGCGCTGATCCAAATAACATTTACTATGCTTACAGTAGAGCCATTTAATCGATTATAAACCAGCCGCAACTTCTTTTGTAGGTAAGCAATACAAAGTTAACATTTTTTATGTCATTTGCGGCAATATTAGATGGCGTTGATTAAAATAGTTTAATATTCATACTTAGTATAACACCGAATCGGCGGAGCATTCGGAGCTCGGAGCATACAATGACACAAGTACACACACGTGTGTTGTGCTTTTGCTTACTTCTATGAAATATCTGTCTGTTAAAAAAGAATTTAACATTTAACCTTTCAGCAAAAAAAATTTTTGATATTATTGCTGAGTAAAGTCATTATCCATTATTGTATGAACTTTCCAAAAGAAAATGCTTATCTTATTCCTTCTGGCAACTATCAGCTGTTTGATAGATCCGTTTGCTGCATTTATCATTAAATTCGTAAGTTTGCATGTACTTTTCAAACAAACTTTATGATCATGATAATTTTTGTTACACATAATTTAGATCACGGGATGGTGTTGCAAAGAGACGGATGAAGATCAAGAGATGAAAAAACAATTGATTTCTTTGAGAAAAGATATGAGCAGCTTATCAATGGTCGATGAATTTTCCAAGTATGCAAAAATCCAAAGAAAATGTAACAAATTACAAGATGTCATCAAAGAGAAATGTGAGTAGTGAATACTAAATGGCTGCTTGTACCAGCAAAACTGCTTGTTTCTTTCTTTAATTTCAGTAAGCGCTAGATCAACATCGAGAATGAAGTTAAAAATGTCTCTGACATATGGCATTCGTATTTTAAACGTAAGTTGATATTCATTAGATTTTTTTAAGGTCAAACTTTGAAATTTATTCCATTTAAATGTACATCTACACTTGTAATTATTTAGAGCTACAATAATCTTTGAGCTAGGCTCTTAAATGAATCTTGTACTTACTCCTTCAAAAATTTTAATCCCACAAAACTAATTGTAGTTTACATTCTCTACTGCAGGGAATCTTTACAACGATCCTTGTGTTCTCTTATAGAAGTGAACCTGTTGTTATTTTTCCCACTGGCTACCTCTGGCCTGTTGAATCGTTTCTAAGCTGGCCAACTGGTATCAAAGGCTGCATTTCTTTGCCATCATGGATTATTTTGATGAGACTGAGTGTGCAATCTCTTTTAAAAGCAAGTGAACCGTGATAGATGTATAACTTATGATGTAAATACTAATTATTGTACAGTAAAACGTAAGAATGATATAGGTATGTTAAATTTATTGTGAATGTGCATGTTAATAAGATAGGATAACAATTTTGAATCTCGTGAGTTCTTTTTTTACAATAAATTGTTGGAACAGAAAGTCTCCATCTCAGTTTTGAAATTGTTCAATTCTCAAAGTAAGATAAAAAAAAGGCGTACTATTTATAGTAAAAAACGTACTATTTATAGTAAAAAAACAAGTGCAATTGGCAAAAATTGAACTAATTATACTTATTATTGATTGACATTTGTATGGAACACAAAACATAGTAAATTTTCTAAGGATAGATGCATTTAGTACACTGCATATTAGATTGCAAGTACATTTCGTTTTAAAGTAAACATTTTTACACTTTGAAATAAACAAAAAAAATGTATGTACTCCCACAAAAGTTTTATTATTATGTTAACGTACAAACTCTGTATAACGACATATGTTACATCCTTATTAAGGTAGTAAAACTAGATTTATGTGTTACCTGTTAGTAATATTGACATTTTACAGTAACCACTAGTAATTACTTTTTATACGTAAATTTTTTTTCCAATAATGTAGAAATACTTCTTTTTTAATGTTGACAAAGATCTAATTTTTAATCAAGAATTTAACATTCAAAGTACATTATATCTAACAAAATTGATGAGCTACTTGGTAGTTGTGATGTTTGTTTTACAAGAAATGCTCTCAGTCATAATAAACTCAACTTGATTTTCAATTACATGCTTAATCATAATGTATACAAACAAGCAAACTTAAGTGATTGAAGCAACTTGCTACAATTAATAATATTAAACATTTAAATCATAATCATTTGTACTCTTACTCCATGAAACAATGGAAAACAAATGTTGCTGCCAAATAATAACTTTCTTCAATTACAATAATTATTAAAATGTTTATAATTTAATAGTGGCTACAAAAAAATAATGTTGTCTTAAGGGCACTGTAAGAACAGAGCTGGATTGACCATTGTAAACTGTAAAAATATGCCAGTGTCATGGTTATCATCACTGGGCACCAGAGCCTCAGCCTTTTTACAGTGTAAATTTTACACTTTTTATGAAGAGGCAGTAATTGTAGTTCACAACTTTCCATCACACGTGAAAAGTTGATAATTTCAATATCCTGATAGTGATACACTTGAAAGTCTAGTTGTCCTTTGATGCCATATGTCTCATAAGATTCTTTATAAATTTCTCCATCTTCTTGACATCTTGGGCTATTTCGGTCTTGTACTGTAAGCACTGCAATGGAAAATGAGTTTAGTTAATCTTCCATTGTTAACATACTGAATAATTTCAAAACAACAAGATAGTACACAACAAGCATGTAAAAAGAAACAACATTTTTCACTAATCGCCACAATCGGTTAAATCAGAAGGAAATGGTATGAGTAAAATTTTAATGTCCAAGACACGCTTTTTATTCAAATATCACAACACAACTACGCATTGAGGTTAGGATGCGAGAAAAGTGTTTCCTCACCGTTCGGTCATCCGTAAACTTGAGACATAGCACGCCTTTTTGATGGCAGTACTTCATCGTGTACCTGGTCTGCACATGAAAACAATATCGTAATGAAACAAAATCATCAGACAATAAGCAAGCGCAAGTAACAGGTTGTACGACGCAGCTGTTCCGGCAAATTTACCTTCATCGGGTCTTGCAAATATAACCTTTCGGCGCACTTTTCGAACTCCTCCCATGAGCTCAGGTACGTCATTTTGATGATGGAGAGTTTAATTAAAAATACGCACAGGAATAACAATAATATTAAAACATCAAAGGTTTAAATTGACGGACTGCAGCAGTCGACGGATGCGCCGAAAATCCGAACACTTGTCATGTTGTCAGTTTCCCCTCTTCTGCAACTGCTGCTGCTGTTTTCTCTTTTCTCTCTCTCTTTCTCATTCGCACGTGCACTTGAGCTGTAGAGGTTGTATTTTGGAGTAACAGATGGCAACAGCATGTCGTTTGTTCAGGGTCTCTTACTTACTTTACTTGCTGTAGATACATACTTATGAGGTCAGGTGCATGACTGTTTAATTTTTCTCGCGTTTTGATTGTCATAAATATTATGAGCACTCGAGACCAAAGTAATCCGTTTAGTTTTTTGTTAGTTATTATTTAAATTTGCAAAATAGAACGCTAGTAGTTTGAAAAATGGAAGGTTAAAATACTACTCCAATTAGGTGATTAATATTGTTTTATTTCTGGGAATCAGTCAAAAATACAACAATTTTTATTTTTTAATAATAAATAAATCACATGTATATTCATATATACGTAAAATCTCGCTGTGCGAATAACTTTTTTAATGTTTTTTTTTTTTATTTTTTTTTTTATTATTTTTTTAAGTACTCACATAAAAATTGATCTTTACTCGCTATTCCTGTACTTTTTACTTTGACAGAGACAATAGGTATTATAAACAGAAGATGATACGAGATACACTTTTTATCGACGAATTTCTCGATACGCTGTCTTAACATTAATTAAAGATACTTAACTACAATTATCTCTTTGGAAACATCTTACGCTCGCATTATTTACTTTACTGTCGAAAAAATCGAAAAAAAAAAAAAAATTCCTATTCAAAGCCCACTACAGCTCCAAACAGAGTAATGTTTATTGATACGATTTATTAACTTTGAATTCATACAATTACAACAGAGCATTGAATTACATTTAGACTCTAATTGGTTTTTTTTCTTCTTTTTTTACGTTCATCGATCGCTCAATCGACGTTTCGATTAGATAAATTTAAAGCTTACGCATTAATCAATAATTGATAGTAATATAATTATGTAAATCGTGTATATAATAGAGGTTTTTTCCTCGGTTTGGTAGGATAAATTTTTTTTTTGCGCCTCGTATGCATAAACATTTAAAAATTCAATTATCCATCTAGAGGGTACAGATACAGTAATCATATACATATATATATATTTATTTGTTTATTCAATATGATACAAACAACGCAATATAGTTATATCAATATACAACGGGAAAGTTTCTGAAAACACGTGCTCGCATGACACTCCGACTCGCAAACCATGTTATAAACCATCTAAAATGATATAAAAAATAAAAAAAGGAACAAAAACAAGATTCAAAATTCACTCGCATGGGAGGGGGAAGAAAAATCGTGTCCTCGATCGGCATCGTTTTAGGCGCACTGCCGCCAAGAAGAGAAACTCCGCGACAGTATAGCGCGGAGAGGCTAAGGGATTTCCACCGCGGAGTTTTTCCTCCGAAAAAAAAAAAAAAAAAAAAAAGGAAGGAACGCACGAGCCCCGCATCTCGATAAGGAGACTCGGGTATTCCAAGCTCGCACGGCGCGCATCCGTCAGGAAAGGATTCCTCGGACAACAATTGCTCCTCTGCACCTCCTCTCCTTTTTTTCCGCCGAATTTTTTTACTCCTTCCTTTCAAACCTAGGTATACCCGCGCGACTTTTACTCTATAGGTGTAACAATTTTTCTTTTTTTTTTCATACCTTATAGGTGTATAAGTCGGAGCGAAAAAAAACAAGGAGACAACAAACGTTGCGCTCCGCGGCGTGGATTTATTGTTGCGCCTTTCCTTGTCTCTTTTTCCCTCATTTTTCGTCCCTCCTCTCTGATTTATCGCGCGCGTATATATATATATGATTTTCAATTACATGCTTAATCATAATGTATACAAACAAGCAAACTTAAGTGATTGAAGCAACTTGCTACAATTAATAATATTAAACATTTAAATCATAATCATTTGTACTCTTACTCCATGAAACAATGNTGTGTATATAACTTTAAGCTGCGAAATCTCAGTCCGCGCAGGGGCAGTTGTTGGCTCGCAGAAGCAAAAAAAAAATTAGATCCTCCCAAAGCTCTACGTATAGTCTTAATCGCCCGAGCAATTAAGACTCGTTAAATCTTCTTTTCATGGTTTTTTTTTTTTTTTTCTTCAAAGTTTCGCTAACTTTCTTCAAAAATCGGTACTCACATATACCTATAATAGTCCAACTCTATAAGTATACGGTACATCGTAATGAGATTAGAGAAAGAGAGATAGGGAATGCGTGTGTATGTATGTACAAAAATATATGTACAAGCGCGTCGCAGCTGCGCACCCTGCATCGTTTAAAATATAGCGACGACGACTCTAAAATCCGTCCTTCGTAATTGCGCTTCATAACTCAGCCGCGATAAAACTCCCCTTCGGGCGCTGCAAGCGTGGGGAGAAGACCCCCCGCCCCCAGTTTTGCTCCAAATCCGTGGGGGGGGGGGAGGTAGGGGAATAACGAACTGGCCGCTATAAAAAACGGTAAAACAAGGAAGGGGCGTCTTCGCTTTTTTTCCGTCGCGAGAAAATAAAGACGCGACTTTTCTCCCCCTTTTCCTTTCGGGCGCATTGCGGTTGGGGGAATGGGGGACGGACACGAACTCAAAGGATGGAAAAATCCGAGGGTGTGCTACTGCGTCGCGCAAAAAACGTCACCGTCGTTGCTACCTGCTGCTACGGGACACAATATTATCCCGCAAACTCGCGCGCCAAACACAAAGTATACATGTACTCGTATATATGTATATGTGTATTGTATATACGTATTAATTGAGTGATTAAGTATGTAGATAGACAGACGTAGCGGTAATGATCAGCTCAATCGGCAAACTCCATGGTGGCCGCGTAAAGTGGACTAGGCGGCAGTTGGGTGGGTTCGTCGGGGCGCTCGGCGCCATAAAAAACGGCAAATCTGCCCTCCTGGTATCAGACGATCGTGGGCGGCTGGAGGACCGCCGGGGCACGACGGACCTTCAACGCCTCGGGGCTCATGGTTTGGCGCGACTTGCAGGCTATCTGATCGTAATCGTACATAACGGCAAGACCGTCGTCGGCTATGCTACTGCTGACCGAGGGCTTGCGGGGATAGCCAACGCCCATGCCTATGCCCCCGACTATACCACCGCCGACCATGATGCTCTTGAGGGTGTTTTGTTGGTACTGCTGGTGGTGATGGAGCTGCTGCTGTTGCTGCTGATGGGAGAGCTGATGCTGCTGGGACTGGTGCTGCGGCTGGGGTTGCTGTTGTAAATATAATTTCTAATGAGAAAAATGAGATAAAAAAAAAAAAAAAAAAAAAATGTTTTTGTTTAACACATGCTAGATTTAGTTTATTTTACAAAAAGGAGCGGATCGTTGGCCAATATTTTATTCTTGAAGGATTTTATATTTAACTGAGGGGTAATTACTCGAGTACACGGCGAAAGCGTTTGCGTCCTTTTGCAGTAACAAGTTGCACTTTGCAATCAGTTTTTTTTGCACTTTATCAAGCTTATGATTAAATAATCGTTCAAAAAGTACAGAAAACAAGCTCTAAAATAATTTAATTAAAAAACTTTTCATCGGACTCATCAAGTTTTCTATTTTTACTCAACAGCAACTGAATGGTAAATCTGTAAATACTACTTATTAGATCTCAATCTCCATTTTTTCCTTGCGAGCGTGCACACTTCACTTTTCCACACTTGCTCGAAAGAGTGAAAATTCGGAGGCATACATTTTCACGGCGCGCGCAAAGCAAAATCTCGGCGCATCGAAAACAAAGACATATAAAGCTGTATAAAGCCACACTTTGTCCGGCAGTCAAATAACCCCGGCGTCAATCACAAAACATTTTTGTTTCATTCCCGGGGCCAACGTACCCGAATAACGAATAATATAACTTTGCCCCCGCGGTGTTGCGCCGTAATGAAAATTTAAAAAGCACATCTCGCGAGCCGCGTATCCACCTCTCTCTTATACATATAAATCCACATTTTCACGTGCGCGTGTGAAACGTGTATATGTTGTGTGAGACAGCATCTCGTCAGCAGAGGTATGTTTTATCATTTGCGCAGGAACGAAAATGTTGTGCAAACCCCTTGCACCAATAAAAAAAAAAAAAAAAAAAAAAAAAAAAAAGAAAAAAAGAAAAAAAACATTGATCCTCTAATCGACTCACCGATGAGTGCAGGGCGGCCTTGATCTGCCCGTTGTTCCTTTCGATGGTCGTGGTCGAGACGCTGCCCTCCTCCTCGTCCTCTCGCCTGTACTCCCTGTGCTTGCGCCTCGAGCGCAGGGTGTAGATGGCCACGAGCACCAGGAAAATGAGTACGATGAGTCCAATGGCACCGGCAGCGGCGACCATCCGTATCTCGGTGTGGTCGCGCACGACGAGCCTCAGGTTCTTCGAGTCCCGGCCCTTGTCGCTCTCGACGACTAGGGTGTACATGCGCGCGTCCGCGGTCTGCAGATCGCGGATCTCCAGCTTCGCCCAGTAGCAATTCGTCACCACTTTGTTCTCGATTATTGGCTCCAGGGGCAGAGCCTCGTACTTTGGGCTTATGCTCTCGCCTGCAATTCAATTGTAGGGCCATTTTTACGTGTGGGCCATTTTCGAGCCGGATTTTCAGGACATTTTGTTCCACCAACAAGCATCTACCGATGGCTTTTTATTTATGGGTGTGGAGATTGTAACAATCTTTCTCGACCCATAGAATACAATTTTTATTTATTTATTATTATTATTATTTTTTTTTTATTGTAAACTAGGAAGCTCGGGGTTCTATACGTGCGTCAATGTGATCGAAACATCATCATTCGTGAGGAATAAGGTATACACCAATTCCGCTGAGCGTCAAGACAACAGTTTTGATGTAAAGGGCAGTAACTCAGTACGCATTGATCAATCAATTTTTATTACTTCCACAGCTGTAATAAACCCTTCATCGTTAGCTGTTACCTTTTATCAAACTTGACATGAAAATTCACGGCTATCTGTCCAGGGGCTCTTTAACGGGGAATCCTTAGGGGTGGTATAACGAAAATGGGTAATGTTACGTTCTCTGACTTTAAGAGATTTTTTTATTGGAGTCACCCTTAAAATAACGCATTTAATTTACCAATTAGAAAAAATGAGCCTCGAAATATGTTAAAACGCTACTTTCAAATACAACTATTCCGTTTTTACATTTTAATGTATATTGGAGTACACGGTTTGTAAAAAAAATCTTTATATTATTCAATAACTTGTAATTTTTTGTTCTCGATTTCAAAATACCACGAAACACATAAATATCAAATTCAGAGTAAAATACCGAACAGAATCACCCTCGGGACGTCCCACAGCCAAATCCACCTCTGCGACGTCGGCCAAATCATCGTGCATTAGCTTTTTTTTTTTTTTTTTTTTTTTTACGGGACTCCCACACGTACGGCTAAACGGCGCGCTCGACAATTTCGCAACGGCAGTAGCTCGCGTATATTATAGACCAGCGATTTCCATGCGAAAACGGAAACTGTGTACTCATAGTTTCAATTTTTCGCTCCGCGTGCGCGGGGAGTTGCCCCGGCTAAATGGAACGGTCAGTCATTACCCTCTCCCGACGTACGTATATATATGTATAAGTATAGGTCGTACACGTACAATGCACTCTCCTTCTGCAATCTCGTATACACACAGAGTTCGCGGACAGACGCACACACGCGCGTCATATAATATAAATCACGGAACGGAATAATGAAACGAAGGCTATGTTTTTTTCTTTTTTTTTTTTTTTTTTTTCGTTTCGCGTTGCAAACATCCACCTTTAATATGAATTTCATATATACGTATACAAATATACGTACGAACTTGTGTGCAAATGCAGGGTACTGAATTTTCACAATATATACATACATACATACATATAATATAAAGCAAGCACGTGCCCAGTGCCTTTCTCACGCTCGATTTATACAAAGCGCACTCTGAGATCCGCGTGAAAGGCTCCCCGTGGGTTTGTATACGTATATACATGGCTCAAGGTTCGCGCGCGCCAACTAAAACTTATCTAAGCGCTCTCGTATGCGTTCGCGGATACGCCTTATGTGTGTGTATAACTTCGTAATGCGGCTACGGGTGTACGATCAATCAGATGTGGTCTGTAAATAAATTTAATTTTACCGATTTATTGGTGCTTGAATGTCCCCCCCCCCCCTAACTATCTTTGGATTCCGGACTTGTAGGTATACGTGTATACGTACACGCGTGTATATGGAGGAAAGCGAAAGTTTCACACGGCGCGCATATATATACACGAACAAAACGGACAATGCATACCTCGACCGTATATTATATTGTGTGCGTTGTTGCAGCCATCAACAATTTAATTCCGATCGGCCGCGCGATGTGTCACGAGATTTCGATGAAATTAGATAAGAGAGCATCAACCCGGGATGTAAAAAAACGTTTGGCTTGTAAATCGATCGGCTTTTACGGAATCATAAATCAATCCGTGCGTTGTACCTGTGATGTGCGCTTCATCCGCGTCGGACGAGAAATAGGAGATAAGCTTCATACGAGGGTACACACATAATATGTATAATACACATTTTGAAAGTCACGCCGTAAGATGCTGTGCTGTATATACGGGCGCGTATGCACACACATATTTTTATGACGTGCGCCCGTCAAGTTGAAAACGAAGGGGGCACTTGCATCTCTTGTTCGAGAAAGAAAGGAAGCAAAAAAAAAAAAAAATGATGGCAGTATAACAGGCTTCTTTGGACGGATCTTCAATAATATCGCGTTGCTCTCTGTAAAAGCTTTTCCGTCCCGGGGATTGGAGCTTGAAAGGGATTTTTAACGAGGAACCAAGATCTCCTCTTTTCATCCGTTTTATACCTCGCTCGCTGATGCGGATGTTTATGTAAAGACACGGAAGCTTATCCTCTCTCGATTGTTTTTATCATTCGTACTTTGTTTTTTTTTTTTTTTTATTTTTCATTGTATTATAGACTTAAGTGCTTCTACTTTGGCAGAATTGCTTTTTTCGATAATTTTTCAGCATGACCTACATAATGGAAAAGTATAAGCATACTTGAGTTTCAGCAAAATTCATATATATGAAAGGGGTAGTACATGGTACAGGGGTGCTCGAATATTTTTTGCAAAAAAAAAAAAAAAGAAAAAATATAAGTAAGTGATACAGTTTTATTAAAACCCCTCGACAATTATTGAACCATGTGACTGAATACTGTACTTGGCACAAAATCAAATAAAAGTGCAAGGAAGAAGCTTAAAAGGGACATTCGCTTGTTTTGTATTAACTCAGTGGGGGGAAAAAAAAAAAAAAAGTTAAGGGTATTGCTCTGAAAACTTTTATAATTGAGCATACTCGTTGAAAATGGTTCGCTTGGAATTTAATCCGTATAAGCAGATAGTTGTAAAAACCATTGACAATGAACTAGATCGTCAAACATAACTGTAGTGCTTGTCTACTCTCGAAACTGTAGGGATAAAAAAAAAAGTAGAACGCATAGACGATAAACTCACCAGCCCTGATGTGCAAGCTGCCCCACTGCCAGGCAACGATCTTGGGGGGCGGTCTCGAGCAAAACCTTGACTTGAGCCTGTGCACGGGCTCCCCGGTCCAGCCAATGGACTCGTACATTCCGTCCTCCGTCTCTGCCGACGGCCTCGCCTGTATCTCGGGTGGCCCGATGACGTGCAACACGAACCTCATGTCGCTCGGCATCTCTCGCCTCACCCCGTTGATCACGTTGTAAGCCACGCACCTGTACTCGCCCTCGTCCGCCCAACCGACGTTCTCGAGGCGCAACCTCCGCCCACCGTCCAGCGCGTGCTCGTGGTTACGGTTGTCGATGGTGTCGGTGTTGCCGCCCCGTATGTGCAGCCACCGGTACTGCGCCGGTGGATTCGCCTCGAAGTCCGGGCACTCGAACGGCTCGATGTTCGACCCCAGCGACGTCTGCTCCTCGACCACGTCCAGCGCCGACAGCCCATCCGAGGGGGACTCGCTCGACCGGGGCTTGGGACCGTCTGCGCACACAATTCACCTTCGTTATACCGGGAAAAATAGTGCACCAGGAACCCTTTTTTGTTTTTTTGTTTCCCTCGTTAGCCATTATTTTTTGTTTTCTTGTTTTTTCCTCTTCAAATTGAACAATAGAAAGGGCATCGGGGAGGAGCCGGCAAATTGGAGCGGCTCGACGGCCATCGATTGATTTTCGGAATTTTGATTCACAACGAAGCGTTAATTAACGCCGGGAAATAAAATAAACAAACAATCCGTCAACCCCCCCCCCCCCCCCACCCCTGCGCGCTCAAGTGAAAACTCCACCCGGTGGTCCTCACGGCGTCGATTTCAACTTCGAATTCGGGTGTGTGTGTATATAAACACGCGTTCATGCACTTTTGCCGAAATCGAATTTTAATTGCAAAACAGATTTCCATCGAACGACCATATATATATATATACATACAGGGACGCCCCGGTGAATATGTGCCCATATATAATATATGGATCAATGTATGCGAATGCAGTAATTCGCAATTTAATTAATAAAATGGATCGAGGCTCTTTCACGCATGTGTGTATATGTATATGCCCTTTTTCATTATAGCGGAGCAGAGAAGGATGGTATAGATGTATGCTGTTATACGCATGGGTATATTTGTAAAATCGAAAAACACGCGGGGGCGCGAAAAGCGCCGAGTTAAATTACGCTCTCAAAGTTGGTGGTTTCATCATTTTTGATTGACGACGATGACGGCAAAGTGGGGGGGGGGGGGGTTCTGTTTTCAATTTCGCGAGCTCCGCGGCTAATGCCCCGTATATACACGAGTACACCGGGGTGTATGTATGATGTGCATGCGCTTGTGCGCAGCAATTTCGCCATTAAAATCGAAAATTTAAAGGTATGCGAGAACCAGTCAATCACAACGACGGGCTGTGGTACGCGGAGAGGAAAGAAGAAGAAAAAAAATAGCTAGTTAATTTTATAACAGTGATTATACTAATTACCGCCCTCCTCTTTTTTTTTTTTTTTTTTTTTTTTTTTTTTTCCTTTCACTGCCGTGGAGCGCTTGTCGGCGCACAGTGTAACTCGTTAACGCAGAGGGAAAGGACGAGCGTAATTGGGTCGTAGAGACGATGAAAATCTCCTTTTTTGTCCCTTTCCTTCTCGTCAAACAAAGTGTCAAAAGTAGGTTGGCCAGGGGGATAATTATTTCGGCAAAACCGGCATGTTTAAGGCTACGCCGTAACTATACATTATGCCACCTCGTTGGATAAAGGGATCATTTTTACTTTCATCTCACCGAGGTATGCATCAATAAATTGTGCGCTATCGCGCGTCAGCGTCAAGATATTATATAATTATATATCCCATTGCCCACCCCCTCTTTTTGGTTGAAAAAAAAAAAAAAGAAAAAAAAAAGAAATAGCCTTATTGTTGCATCTTTCGCGGAATCCTCCTCCCTTTTGTGAAGCGATAACAAAGATGTGATGCTTATTATTTTTTTTTCCTTCCCTCCCCCCCCCTCCCGCTTCGTTAAAACTAATTAGCTATGCAAACTCGAATGGCATTTAATTCCCTTTTTCTCTCTCCCTCGGCAATTGTACATCACCCTCCTCTCCTCGGAGTAAAGAGCCGATGCTCGAGTTGGAAATTGAAAACAGCTGCATGGGGCAGTGGGGGCAATAATCCGGGCTGAATGTCGTTTGCGAGTGCTTTATTTTTCCCCTTCCTCGCTCTGCTACTTCGCTGCACGGAGGAGCGCTCGAATATAACGTACAGACGACGACGGGAGAAAGATGGGACGGGGGGAAGAATAATTCGGAATTAAAGGCCTGGCTAATCCAATCAGCGAAACGTCCGCTTCTCATCGAAGTATATTTATATATATGTATCTCGCGTGCACGCGTCCGTGTATATATATATGTGTACCGAATAGGCGGACACGTACGGATGAGAGTCGGGAAAGTTCAAATGAACCGTTGGAGAGGGGGAGAGACAATGACGCGCTCGATTGAGCTTTCGGTATCTGGATGGCTTATGAATGTATATGTAAAGGAAGATGATCGAGCCGGTTCTCACAGATGGGACAAACGAGACTCTGTAGCATATGTACACGTGTGTGGGGGAGGACCGTTTCTGTTTCGAGCTTTGGAGGTCCGAAACCATAGGTATACATATTATGCTTCAAATTTGGTTTTGCCGCTTCATCGAGTTGGAAGGCTCCAAGTATACTTTGCAAACTCATCTTTTCACCGTAAACGATAATTACGAGGAACTTCAAAAGTTGTCCGCGACGTAAAGGCCCGCGTAAACTCCGTCGCCACTAATCACGACACTTTTTAATTGCACGGGGTGTACATGGAAATGCTTTGGTAACGAGGGGGTCGAGTGGTCGACTCTTGGATGCTTGGATTGGACCTTTTCGCAGCTCGGGAACGTCGCATATGTATATATTCTTTTCCATCTTGTTACGCGCAGTTTCAATTTAACTCGACTATCGGTTCTGCGGATGTATTTGCAATGCCGGGAGCACTTGTTACGTTTGCGGCATAGCATTACTTTCCTTACGATCGAGACGTGAATAAAAGCCACAGTACACGTATCTATTCGCTTCCAAAGTCGTAGAGAACAATTGAAATTTATAGAGTATTTTTTTTTTACCGCGGGCTGCATACAACGAAAGAAAAATATAACATAATTCTTAATTACGAGGTACAGTGAGTGAAAGCTGAAGGGACGAACGAAAGGTCTTTGTTATTTTAAAGCTTCCGTCAAAATGCCATTCAACGGAATTTTCAATTGATCAATTTTGTTCTTCGTCAATTTGTCATCATGTAAATTACGCGCAGCCGAGGTAAAAGTGCTAGAATTTACTTACTTCGACCCAAAGTAGGAACAACAAATGCAAACCCGCCCATCGACAACATCCCCTGGTTAGCGTACAAACGGTACGGTAATTGCCGGATGGGGGGTCAACAATGTTGGTTAGTTAGAGTCTATAGTCATTACCGTAACCCATTTTCGAAGCTCATTGACAAATGCATTTAAATTATAACGAATGTTTCCAAAGAATTTCAAACAACAAAAATGATGAGCACCCAGGGATATATTCAGACTTGGATGTTTAAAAAGTTTTTTTGCTCAAAGTGTAACGCATTATTTGTGCTTTTTGTAATTACTACACTCGTAACGTGGTGCTTAACCTAAATTTTATCTCGTGAAAAAAAACAACTTTAAAAAGAAAGAAAAAAAAAGCAGAAATATGTTAAAGTACTTAAATATTTAATTAAAAATATCTCGCTTTTGTTTGCCAGAAAAATTTTTTCCTAATATCCCGTGGTACGAATAGCGATGAGTAACAACATTTTTTTCCGTAAAAAAAGAACGCTTTCTAATTAGAAAAAAAAAAAAAAAAATTTGGGTCTACCGACAGATGTATGTAAATGCATAACTTAAGGAAAAAAAAACCTTGCACACAGATGTATTTATAATGTATACTCACACTGCACGTCGAGCCTGTAGTTGGCGGGGGCGCTCTCCCCAATGACGTTGACCGCCCTGCAGCTGTACAAGCCGGCGTCCTCGCGTTTGATGGGCTCGAAGCGCACCTCGGACTCGACGATCGTCGCGTTGATCTGATGGGTGCGATTGTAACCGATCGGCATGACGTTGCCGTTCGACACCATTATCGGCGACGACTCCTTGAACCACTTGATACTCGCCGCCGGATTGGAATCTGCCACGCAACGCAGACTCACGAAACTCGAGCTGTCCTCCAGGGCGTTCACCAGCATCCGCGGACTCGTCTCTAGCTTCACTTCCGGGAAATCTGTACCCAATGGACAACGCCCGTGAGTTTTTGTTGCTCATCACCCCCCGCCAAAGCACATTTATTTGTACACGGGAGCTCATTGTGTCCCATACATGGGAGGGGAAAGTGTGATTGCTTGTTCCCTTACTCTATGTGTATAAATACGTATATATAGCCTCGATATTCATTATCCGATGGTATGATAATAACGTAACGATGCAAAATGCAGACGCGCAAGAAAGAGTAATTTCAGATGTGATTGCGTGTGAAAAGTTAGCTTTCGAATCGATTCCCGGTACGTCGCGTTATATACGTATACTCTCGGTTTCTATTTCCTGTGCGGGAATCGATGCCCCTGCACAAACACGACTCGCACGATGATAAAGCTGTTTTGTACGGAGGCGTTTTTTTTTTTTTTTTTTGCACCGACATAATATATCATACCAGCGGATGTGCAAATACAACGCGATGGTGTCGATGATGATGGCATATAATATACAATACATAATGACGTATACTTACAGTGTATGTCGAAGCGAGACTCGACAACCTCGGGCAGGGAGCTCGTCGGGTGGACCGAGAGGCAGCGTATGGGCTTGTTGTGGTTCTCCCGGTTGCCGCGAACGCGGATCGTACTGTGGGCCGCCCAGGTTCTCGGGTTGTCCAGCTCAGTTGCGTTCGACTGTTCCCGCATCGGTTCGATCTCGTCGTTGCCTATGAACCTAAGACAATCGGGGGAATGATGAAAAAGGTGAAAGATGTGTTTTTTTTTTTTTTTTTTTTTTCTTTTTTTTTGTAAGGGTTATACTCGAAGCAATGTAATTTTGGTGAAAAGTAAGATTTCGTTTAGTACACGTATTGTATGGTATTTTGAAAGATTAATATGCTTAAATTAACTTTAGTTCCTTTGTACGTATTTTTATTTTTCTTTTTTTAATATTACAAAACCCACGTGATATTTACGTGTGCAAATTTTGCAAAAGCATTGGAATGTCTCACGAAAAATGTTGAGCGAAAGTTATCTAAAAATTGAAATATTTTTCCTGAATTAGTACACCTCGAAAAAACGTATGAGGTGTATACAAACGCATTTACGGAAAAAAGTGTCTCTTCAGTACAGGATGCAAAAAAAAAAAAAAGAAAAAAAAAGAAAAAAAAAAAAAGATGGTTAAAGAAACTGTCCGTGGCAGGTTCAAAGGAAGAGTCGTAAAGTCGCCGCCCTCGCGTACCGGCCTCTCTTTTTCAAAAGCACACGCGCGCCGTCAGACGTGCCTCCGTCGTTTAACAAAAGCACCTTTTTTCCACATAACCCGCGCACACCGTTACGCTGCAGCGTAGTAATTTTTTTTTTTTTTTGTCTTTTTCTTTTCTATGTCACAATCCAGAGTAGGAAGACGACTCGAAAAAGCCCAGAGGCGACATCAGAAAATTGCAACGATCGCGTCGCGCGAATCTAATTACCAGTCCCTCGGTGTATAGGTATATATAAGTACGGTCTATTATTTCTTCGAGCGAGCGTATATATTATTTCGGGGGTTCCCAGAGGCGAGAAGTCGGTCGTAAAAGCCCGCCGATTTTCGCGCGAAACAACGCGGTCAACCGTGAAATCTGCTGTTATATTCGGGTGTGGGAGAAAAAAAGACCTTTTTTTTCTGTTTCTGTCAAAGCGCGGCTTCGAAATCGCTTCCAGAGAGGAAGTTCGGGGGACGGTGAAATAAAGAGGGCTACCAATTACAGGGTGGGGGGAATTGGGATGCATAAGAAAAAAAAAAAAAAAAAAAAAAAGACGAGGACCGATGCCACCTACGTGCACGCGAAACCAGACGCGGTGATGCCGGAACTAAATACCGGGGGGGAGTCTCGGTCGAAATGCTCCGCTGACGCTCGGCGAATGTGTGTCCACGTATACCACGCGTGTGGGTGTATATTATTATTTTTCTTGCAGCAGTAGTATAGGTGTATGCTACATACAGTGCTGATTATGATGTCTGTGCCGGTGATGGAGATAAAAATCCTCTCTTGGAGTGCGCAACGGCATTTAATGAACGATGTATAGTACGCCCGCGAGTATCAATATATATATATATATATATATATATATATATAAAGGGGGAAAAGGGGGGCTTTCGAAGTGAATAGACTCAGCTGCAGCGTATAGCGACGACGCGGCTATTCATTAAATTTGAATGTAAACATTTTAAACTCGCGGCTCTCCCCCCACCCCCCATTTTTTTCCTCTTTCTTCTTTTTCCCTCTTTATGTATGGCTGCTGGTTCTTTTTGCCCCCCCCCCCTCCACTGCGTGACTTTTTTTTTTTTCTTCCTCCCTCGGGGGCACGATTTTTCATTCGCTCGCGCGCGTAATTATACTCGCTCTTCTTTTTACCGGATCTCGGATTCGTGAATCGGAAGATATTTCCTTTGGCGCATTCGAGTGCGAGGAGCTCGAAAATTAGCGGTAATATGCATAACACGTACAGCGGCTCCGAATGCATTATAAAAATTCGCGAGTAATGGAAATGTATAATTGATCGAGGAGACATTTGGAGAAAATACCAAAAAAAAAAAAAAAAAAAAAAAAGAACCAAATCTGTTTGGCGCCTTGAAAAGCGACAAATTTCGAGGGAAAGAGGAGCATTATTGTAATGTAAAATTTGACGCGGGCGCCTCGCCTTCCAGAAATTACACGTATATACTTTTCCCCTTGGACTGCGTAAGTACAACTATCACGGTCGACAAAGGCCTCAAGTTTTCTCCATTGAAAAGAGAGCTGTGCTAACTGTAGCATCACCTCAACGACAGTCCAAAGGGAGCAACAACGGTACGTACAGTACGTAGTATAACCATGCGCACACAAAAGACGATGAGATAAATAAAAGAGTATATATATATATATATATATACACATG